CACTAATTAATATCGTCACAGGTTCTTCGCCGATTTCCTGAAATTAAGTGATCTAGCTAGGCACTTGTAGTGATGATGATCGTATATAATGTGGTATCACTTAGTGAGAACTACAGGGGTGTGTGCAACGAGAAGCTGCCAAGTGCAACTACAGTGGCAGCCGAAAATGAAACACCATACTTACTAAAAGTGTGATATACAGTTTATGAACTTTTTAAAAGTGTATCGCACAAAATTCTTTTGGTTTAGTTGAATAATGGTAGCTTCATATTTTTGAATGATAGGCATATATTGAGGAAAAACTTCTTTGTACATGTACACATAGGTACTCTGAAGTTGAAATTAAAAAGATGCTCGAGTTTCTGATTGGCAATGTCTATGTGGTTGTTGGAGACCATCAATCCATTGGAATTCCCATGGGTATTGGTTGCGCCCCGTTATTATCAGACCTATTTCTATTCTTATCGGAAGTAAAATTTGTTAAAAAACATATGTGAATAGAAGATATTCTCTGTGGCCTTCAACTCGACATTTATAGATGAACTGTCAATTAACAATGATTATTTCTATTTTTATGCCGATACCATATATCCTGGTGAGCTTGAAATGAAAGCTACTACAGAGTCTGACATAGAGTCTGTTTCATGCTTGGATATTTTACAAGAAAATATTATACTAAAAAACTAACAAAGCTACGTGATGACTTCAACTTTTCAATCGTCAAGTTCCCTTACTTATGCAGCCATATTTCCCTTATTTCCTGCATACAGGGTTTATACATCTCTTTTGATTTGATACGCAAGAACATGTTCTATGTATTTACAATTTTAAAAAACGAGGTGAGTTAAAGACAAACAAGTTTATGAAAAAAGGATATCAGCAGTTTCGTTTAAAGTCCTCATTTAGTAAGTTTTATGGTCGATATAATGACATTGTCAGAAAATACAATCGATTGTATATTGAACTCAATTGATGACTGTTAGGCCATTATTTACATACTAATTTGTCGACGGTTCCCGATTATGACAAGGATCACATGACGGGTGTGATCGGTCGATAGAGGATGCTCACTCCTCCATGGCACCTGATCCCACCTCTGATGTTTTAGAGATCCGTGTCCTTATTTGTATTGTTTAATTAACTTTTGAACTCGAATACTCTTCGTCATCTCTACAGAAACATAATTGCAGAGACCAGTTTTTTTCAACAATTTCTACTAGCGGTAAAATTAAAGGCTTCGATCTTTTCTTTTGCTAAAACATGGGCAAAAAGAACTCAGTAGAATGTTACATCTTCAAGTGATTAACTACATCATCAACTATATAATTATATCAACTGTCTTTTTGAAATTTGTTTTGTCTTTGTTTTGTTTTCGTCTTTTTTTACTTCAAAAGTTCAACGATTTAAAGTAAACATGGAAGAAAAAAGAACAAACCCGAAAAATATTAAACAAACAGTGTCCCAGTTTTCAATCACATTCATATCAAGCTATGTATATATAGGAACTGAAGAAAGGTATTGATTTATAATGATGATAAATTGCAAGTTTACTCGCAGGTACACTGCAATAGTTGTCCAGCTCAAGGCTACCATTAACTGAACTTTAATTACTTTGAAAACATGTTGAAAACGGACAATTATATAATAATAAAGGTAAAATGCTGCATTTCATTTCCGGAAATATGCATAGCATTTCCGACATTTTTTGTTTTCATTTCCGACATTTTTTGTTTTCATTTCCGACATAATTTCTTTTTCATTTCCGGAATTTACCTGTGCGGCAATTCAATGTTTTCATAGTAAGTGAAAGTGGAATTTTAAAAGTATTTAAATATAAAAAAAAGTACAAAATATTGATAAAAACCATCTACACATGTATGCATACATTTAGCACTAAGTCAAGGTAAAAGAGTTCTATGAGCATAAACTTTTTCACCACATCTAATGTGCACTAAATTAAATGTCAGTGACAGCACCACATTTATGTGCAAGTCATTTAGTGGAGTGACAATCCTAGAAAAAGATGCTTAGTTTTCGAGTTTAATGGACCGGCATACCCTACGGCTGAAAGTTATATTTTATAAAAGAGACATCCCTCCTCATACATTTTCTCCCGGTCGTAGAGTTTTCTCTAGTCAAAATTTTTTTTTGCTTGCGATGAAAGTGAAAAGAGGGGGGGGGGGGTATTTTAGTCGTTTATTTTACTTGCTGACAATATTCTTTTTCAAAGATTAATTATTAATTTTAAAAAGTACTAATTTGTGTGTGATAGGATAGCTACAGGTAAATAAATTTACAATGCAAAATTAATCAGGAATATTATTTGCCCCCCTTAAAAAACCAACTTGTTTTGTTATAGAAACTGCGTTAATGTCTTGTATTCTACTTGATCTAAAATGTTTTGTGTAACTGTAATAGATTATAGAATCCCATAATATCTATGACGGTGACACCATCGATCAAAATATTGTTAAATATATTAAATTGGCTTCTATTATTAATAAGATTACGCTAATATTCAGTTTGAATTTAAATTAATGAGCATTTGAAAGTAATTTTCCTTTTTTCAATTAAAAAAAATACGTAAAGGACAAACATGTCACTTTTCCTTTCATAATCTTGTTTGAACAAGGTATCTTGCATAATTGGACATTGCCTTTCTACTTCGTAAGCAATACAAATTAACGCAAGTATAAAACGGAAAGAGAAAAATTATTTTAGTATTTCATCTTAAAGACTGTCCATCACTTTACAGAAACTATATATTTCAAGTTTCCTTCGGAAATATATTTAGTGTTTTCTACAGCAAAAACATGGACTTTGTCATTATTCAAACTAAGGAATGCATATTTTGTTTACGTATTTCCTCATTTACATGTACATACTGCCAAAAATGAAACTCTGTTCCTATAATTCTTTATGAGCGGGGGTATCATATTTTGTCAGCTCAGTGTTTTCTACAGCAAAAACATGGACTTTGTCATTATTCAAACTAAGGAATACATATTTTGTTTACGTATTTCCTCATTTACATGTACATACAGCCAAAAATGAAACTCTGTTCCTATAATTCTTTATGAGCGGGGGTATCATATTTTGCTTACAGTACTAAAGTTTTCTTTTGAAAAAAAAAAAAAAAAAAAAAGTACCAGAAAGGAAGATATGAATCAAGCGGAACCGTAAAAGCAATCCACTAATTTAAAAGTTTTTGCTTGGAAAACTCATGGTTTGTTCTGTCGTAAGAAAGTTTTTTCGATATTTTTCCTTTTGGGTAAGAAATGTCAGCTCTGCTTCAAAAATTAATTGTCTAATATTTATTTTACGAATTGCAATGGAGACAGAAGACATAGTACTAAATACGGTATCTTTAACCAACCGCAGAAACAACAAGGGGTTTTTCACATTCTTTTTAGGACTTCTGATGAATGACAAAGACCACTAAGTATTTAAGCAATCAGCCTTTTTTTCAAAATTCGAAGATATTTCCAGTCAGCAGACACGCACGAACATGCATTTAACACGAACATGCATTTAATGTGAATATTGCCATTTTATCAAAATTTTGCACTGTTCTTTTATTATCCACTCACCTGAAGTATCTTTTTAAGGATCGGCTATCATTACTTTTACAGTGTAGCTCATTAACAAAGTATCTACTCCTATAGTTTTCAAATGAAACATATTCTTGAAAAGTTAACAATAAAGATATACATGTACTTGAAAACCAATGAACAGAAATTACAGCTCTAGCAAACGTATTACGTCATTAATTTAACTCTTCACCCCTTTTCAAAGAATTGCAAATTTAACATCAATACGTGTTTAAAATCTTTCAAAACCCCAAAATCTCTACAATAACCTGCTTATTTTATGAGTAAACGCTTATGTGATTCAAAAGTTCACCAAATTAAACATAAATTTTCAAATTATAGACAACATTCATTGATAAAAAATTGACATTTTTAGACAGAGAAATGAATAAAATATAGACTTTAAATATTCTGTTGTCTGTCCTTTCGATGATACAAGAGTACCGAAATTCAATGTGACATCTAAAAGAAATTTTACTAATAAAGCTTTTTAGAAAGCATCGAACAATTTCTTTAAAAAATATTGAATCAGATGAAAAAGGCTTCATAGAAACAAATACATTTTAAAAAGTGATAATTTTATGGTAATATTTCGTTTTTTTAGGGGTGAGTGGGGGTGGGGTGTAGGGTGTTGATGTTCTTGTTTTTATTTTCCCTAACTTTGTACTAAATATTACGTGATTGTACGTAAAGAATAACGTACATTAGCATTAAGCCTTTTAAGTTTAAATAAAATACTATAAGACAAACCTATCATTGTACAGACAGACAAACGGGCATTCTTATTAAATTTTTCGTTCCTTTTCCATGAAATCAATATATTCACCGAAGAAATAAAATTCCTTTAAAATATACATTATTTTCACAAATTCCTTGAACTTCTCTTTATATGTACAATATTATGTTCAGATTTCAATCATTGATCTTTGATCTCCTTTTATTTTAAATTTTGACCATAGAATTTTCTACGACCGAGCAAAAATTATTGCCTGATAATATATCTGACCAAAACAGTACAAATCAGCCGTAGGGTAGGGTGGTACATTAAAATCAAATTTTTGATGGTCTTGTCACTCCACTAATTGATAGATTTACAAAACTCAGGTATTGGATTTCAATGATTTATTTATGTTTTTTCCTTAAATTTCAAAAGTAAAGTCTTCATATTTGTTACTAAAAGTACTATATATGTATTTGAAAAATGTCGGAAATGAAAAATAAAAAATGTCGGAAATGAAAAGTTGATAATTACAAAAAATTCCGGAAATGAAATACAGCCAGGTAAAATAATCAGAAAGGGTATTTATCGCGCAAAAGAAAAACCCCGGACCTTCACCTCATACAGGTCAAAATCTAGAATTCAGGTCTACAAAAATATATGTTCTTTACTTATCTGTGCTTTCAACTGGAAGAGAATGGTGGCGACATTAGGAACCCTGATAACCGGGCTGTTAATTTTCATTGTCTGTGTTCTGATCCTATTTCTCATGTAAGTATTATTAAAGCATTTCTATATACATGTATCATATATAAAGCTACATGTTTATTTAGGGTCAATCTGATAACAGTCTATGTTTAAGACACACACGCACACACACAGAAAGACATTTCCATTTACACAGACACGGATCCAGGATTTCTATTCAGGGTTGGGGGAATGAGGATGTCACTGCCTTTTTTAATATCCAAATTTTGTTGACACGCGAAAATAAAGTATATACCTTTCCCAAAACTAAAAAAAATATTTTCAGCAGGGTACCTGTAAAGTGCGAAAAACGAAATAGAAACGAAACGAAACGAAACGAAATCTGCCGAAACGAAACGAAATCTACCGAAACGAAACGAAACCTATCGAAACGAAATCACGAAGAAACGAAACGAAACCTGCTGAAACGAAACGAAACACGTAACGCGTAAGCGGGTTATGTAAATTTTTTCTGCAATAGCTGCGACCGTTCATTCCAGTAATAACAAACAAAGAAAGACATTTTATTGTTTATATTTATATCTGTTTAAATAATCATTTAAAGTAGGATTAAAAAGATTTATTATTGTATTAATGATGCGAACGTCTTTATACGTTTCATTGATGGAACAGCCACTGATCAAGAAATCTGTTCTGGCGACATGCCGAATGTAGTTCATGCAGTGATAACCGCAATGGGTTTTCTTAAGAAATAAAGGAGAAAATAATTAACGGATGTAAATATATATGTGTAACTGCATGTGGACTTTTTTTTTTTACTTCAAATGAAATTTATATATATAGTTCAAGCACTTGTTAATATAAAATTTTAAATTATTGATGAATTATGCTCCCTTCTCAGTCTAATGATGTATTTACATGTTTACCAGCTGCAAATATGCACGAGCGTACTATGCATGTATAATTTCAATATGTGCAGTATTTTCTAATTTTTATATCTTATACTCTTATTTTCAGTCCTTATTTATCTAGATACAACATTGAACATATCTATCAAAATTGATGTTGTTATATGTAAAGGCTCGTTTATGTACAGGTCGATCGAAATAAAGTCGCTGTACTGTTGTATTGCGAATGTCTTAAAACATAGGATAAACCAGCGACTTAGAGTATTTAGTAATCCATTCCGAGGTGTCTGATTCTATTGTTCAGTTATACATGTAATTACAACCGCAATCGTGTGTATCCTTTCTACGTACATACGGTCCTTTTTTTATCGAGGTAATTTTCGAGGAAGAAATGAGTGGTTTGCAATAAAGAGGCTCCATAAGAGACGTCGAAAACGATTTAACTGACAAGAAAAAAGTCTCTCAAAGCAAACGATGTCATTTTAAGTAGGTAAATTATTCAGTAAGATATTAATAAAATATGACATAGACGTCGGAAGCGGGAGGAGGGGGGGGTGTTAGCCCCCTCCCCCACTTTTCTTTTTTTGCAAAGATATATATTATATAGGCATTAATTTAACCTTTTTGTTGGTTAACACCCTTTTCAATATCCTTCCGACGCGTACGCCTATGTATGAGCTTGAAGCGAAGACTGTGGTGCTTGAACTATATAAATTTCATATGAAGTAAAAATAGACAATATAATCATTCTGAAAGTTTTGTTTCGTTTCGTTTCGGCAGGTTTCGTTTTGATTTCGTTTCGTCTTGATTTCGTTTCGTTTCGGTAGATTTCGTTTCGTTTCGGCAGATTTCGTTTCGTTTCAGTTCGTTTCGTTTCGTTTCTATTTCGTTTCGCACTTTACAGGTACCCTTTTCAGAAGGGGTTTGAGTCGTATTTTACCTTCCCTTTTAAAGTTTCATATGTCTCTACAAATCTAAGAAGTGTTTCTAAGGGTTTCCAATTTATTTTAGTTCTTTACCATGTGCAAATGTTAAGGGGGTTCCCCTCATCTCCATTTCAATTTGCGATATATCCTGGGAAGGTTGAAATAAAAGACACCACAGAGCCTGACACACCTGTTTCTTATTTGGATATTTTACGAGAAAAGATGTTAATGGTAATGTAACAGCCAAGCTTTATGACAAACGTTACTTTACAATCGTCAACTTCCCTTACTTATGCAGCAATATACCTTCATCACCTGCACATAGGGTTTATATCTCTCAGTTGATTTAATACACAAGAACATGCTGTACAAATAAACAATTTCTAAAAACGAGGCAAGTTATTGACAAAGGAGTTGATGAAAGAAGAATATCAGCTATCACATTTAAAGTTATCATTTCGCAAGTTCTATGGCCTTGACAGCAAATACAATCAAATGCTAACTGACGTTTTTAAAACTAATGTTTAGGCTATTATTTACACACTGAATTGTCGACGGATTTTTCCGTTAATTTCCGGTCATGACAAGGAGCACACGGCAGGTGTAACAGGGGTCGGAATGGGATGCTCACTCCTCCATGACACCTAATCTCAACTCTGATGTTTTAGAGGTCCGTGTTTGCTCTTTTCCTGATTTGTATTGTTTAATGGACTTTTGAGCTTGAATACTGATCGTAATCTTCATTAATTCTAGTATTAATTCATATGAAATTGTGACATTAGTGAATCTAAAAATCGTAGACTCTATGTCTCAACTTCGATGGCTGACAGCCACCTACTTTTGATTAAGAATTCTCGTTTTGAGAAGCGTTTTTCTTAATTAAAAAAAATTCTTAATCTTGCTATTTTATGTTGACGCTACTATTTCCAAGAGGACTGTTTTTTTTAAACATGTCAAGTTGTTGTCATGTTACAAATTTTGTATTTGCTACCCAAAGTATATGTAACTTATGAATTTACAAGTTTGCCTGGCAAAGATTTCAAATATATATTTGCTTTATTTCTATGTTTTAAAGATACACAAAATGGAATTTCGGTATTTTCAAGAAAATGGGAGTGAAAGGACCACCTCCTCATATTTTGTTTGGAAATCACATGACCATCGCTAAAAAGGTAACTACATTATGTAAGAGGATAAGAAAGATTTTTCTTTGTAGACCTTTTATGCAATTGGCCAACTAAGTTTTTAATTAATAATTTTTTTATTTTAATTTCATAAAAATGGAAAAATTTAGGTAAAAAGAAAAAAAATCAAAGCGAAAATAGATAATTTATTTTAGGGATTTGCGCAAGCTGACATGATGTGGTGGAGGGAATATGGAGACGTGTTCGGGTACTTAGAATTTAAAATTCATGATCTTTAGCATTTTTCTTTATTTTATTTTTATTTTTGACATTAACATAAAACCGGTGTGATTTTGTCTAGAATATTTGGTTATAACAGGTACTTTAGCGGTCGATCTCCAACGTTGGTTGTGGCAGATACAGATATGTTAAAGGAGATTCTTGTCAAGCAATTCCAAAACTTCACAGATCGTGCGGTATGTCTCTTTAACATAAAAATCCTATCCGGAACACCTCGGGCCTACAGAAAAACACGTAAGGCCCGAGATGTTCCGGATGCCATGAACCCCAGTTCACATATTTCATCCCCTTATTATATTTTCCCAGACTTAACCCCCTTTGCTTTGGTGTCAACCAAGGAAAATATTAAACGAATTTTTAGTATCTAATAAAAATTGCATAATAATATTTATTAGGTATTTGTATTCATAATTCATTTTTTTAAAATAACTTACTAGTATTTGATTTGTTAAAACAAAATTTGATTTTTTATGTGTGGGTATAGGTTCTGAGGGGCTTCAGTGGAGACATGGAAGAAAATCTGACCGCCCAGCAGGGTAAAGCTTGGAAAAGTTCACGGACAATATTATCACCCACTTTTACGTCCGGCAAACTCAGAAAGGTACGTATCGTGTTAATCTGCGAGCCGTGTAGCAATTTAGAATGTCTATCAAGTTTGAAGTAATACCAGTTAAAAAATGAATTTATAGATATATAAATTAGAGGAATACATTTGTCACTCGGCTTATTTCTCAGAAGTACGGGATGGAAAACTAATGTACATCCTTTTCTGTATCTTCTTTGAAAATGTAAAGCAAACGTGGCAAAGACTTTGAGCATGTAATACCTATATTAAAGACAAAACATTGACTAAGTTGAAGATTGGAGAAATTGTGTTTAATTGTAATGATCTTTGTCTTGTTATCAAATTTGCACAAAATAATAAACACCTGCGTAATGATTTTTCTCGACACAATTAGATGGACTCGTTAATTACTGAAGCTGGTGATGCACTTGTTCAACACATTAAAAGGAAAATCAAAGAGACAGATGATGTGGACTTCGAGGGGTAGGTACAGTGAAGGACACTGATAGATAGGGGTAGACGTGGGGTAGGTACAGTGAAGGATACTGACAGACAGGGATTGACATGGGATAAGTACAGTGAAGGGCACTGACAGACAGGGGTAGACGTGGGGTGGGTACAGTGAAGGACACTGACAGACAGGGGTAGACGTGGGGTAGGTACAGTGAAGGGCACTGACAGACAGGGGTAGACGTGGGGTAGGTATTGTGAAGGGTACTGACAGATAGGGGTAGACGTGGGGTAGGTACAGTGAAGGACACTGACAGACAGGGGTAGACGTAGGGTAGGTACATTGAAGGGCACTGACAGACTGGGGTAGATTTGTGGTAGGTACGGTGAAGGGCACTGACAGACAGGGGTAGACGTGGGGTAGGTACGGTGAAGGGCACTGACCGACAGGGGTAGACGTGGGGTAGGTACAGTGAAGGGTACTGACAGACAGGGGTAGACGCGGGGTAGGTACAACGAAGGGCACTGACAGACAGGGGTAGACGTGGGGTAGGTACAGTGAAGGGTACTGACAGACAGGGGTAGACGCGGGGTAGGTACAGTGCAGGGAAATAATTTTGTTACAGCATCAATGCTGATTTTGGTGCTTCCTATGCTTTCTGATTTTGATGCTTCCTTTGCTTGCTGATTTTGATGCTAGTTATCCTTATCCTGATCCTGGTTTGATCCTTATCCTGATGCTGGTTTGAAACTAGGTCAATGCTAGTAATGCTACCAGAAGTAGGATTATCCTGCCGGAAGTGGATAATTCAAAAACAGCATCGCTATTTTAAGCCATTAAAAATAATTTTTGGGGTAATTTTTATTTGTAATTTGTATTAAATGACTTTCCTTTATCTGTTTTCACTTTGGTCAATGCTAGTTCTATCCTTTGCTTGCTGATGCTGATCCAAGTAATGCTGTTTTTTTAAATGCTGATGCTGATGCTAGTTCTATCCTGATCCTACTTATGCTGATCCTGATGCTGGTTTATGTAACAAAATTAGTTCCCTGCACTGTACAGTGTAGGTAGACGTGGGGTGGGTACAGTAAAGGGTACAGACAGACAGGGGTAGACGTGTGGTAGGTACAGTGAAGGCACTGACAGACAGGGGTAGACGTGGGGTAGGTACAGTGAAGGGTACTGACAGACAGGGGTAGACGTGGGGTAGGTACAGTGAAGGGTACTGACAGACAGGGGTAGACGTGGGGTAGGTACAGTGAAGGGCACTGACAGACAGGGGTAGACGTGGGGTAGGTACGGTGAAGGGCACTGACAGACAGGGGTAGACGTGGGGTAGGTACAGTGAAGGGTACTGACAGACAGGGGTAGACGCGGGGTAGGTACAGTGAAGGGTACTGACAGACAGGGGTAGACGCGGGGTAGGTACAGTGTAGGTAGACGTGGGGTGGGTACAGTAAAGGGTACAGACAGACAGGGGTAGACGTGTGGTAGGTACAGTGAAGGCACTGACAGACAGGGGTAGACGTGGGGTAGGTACAGTGAAGGGTACTGACAGACAGGGGTAGACGTGGGGTAGGTACAGTGAAGGCACTGACAGACAGGGGTAGACGTGGGGTAGGTACAGTGAAGGGCACTGACAGACAGGGGTAGACGTGGGGTAGGTACAGTGAAGGGCACTGACAGACAGGGGTAGACGTGTGGTAGGTACAGTGACGGTACAGACAGACAGGGGTAGACGCGGGGTAGGTACAGTGACGGTACTGACAGACAGGGGTAGACGCGGGGTAGGTACAGTGTAGGTAGACGTGGGGTGGGTACAGTAAAGGGTACAGACAGACAGGGGTAGACGTGTGGTAGGTACAGTGAAGGCACTGACAGACAGGGGTAGACGTGGGGTAGGTACAGTGAAGGCACTGACAGACAGGGGTAGACGTGGGGTACGTACAACGAAGGGCACTGACACACACGTGTATGGTACAGATTTTTTAATTGCATCAACTTACACTTGGAGGTATGTACTTTTATTGGTAAACCATAATAATTATTTGATAAGTAGTCAAATACTCATATTCAAAAACTTAAGTTATCCTTTCTATATAAATTTGTGAGTTTCTGTGTAGTAAATTAATCGTTTAATTTACAGTGTGTTCGGGTGTTATACCATTGACGTCATTGCTTCCACTGCATTTGGAATAAAAATTGATTCACAAAGGGATCCCGAAGACAAATTTGCACGGATGGTCTCACAACTTATAAATGTCCCAATAAGCTCGCCTTTTCTGTCTCTTGTTTGTAAGTATAGCCTTTGTAATACAGCCTTTGTCATACAAATTATTAATTATGAACATGTTATTAATTATTCCCCATTTTAAAAAGGTGAGTTATTTCCCCTGAAGGGAACTCTTTGTCTGTGTTTAATACGCATGCGCTGTAAAGAAAGTCACTTCCGCGAACGTTCTTGATGTAAACACATGTTCATTGTGTAATGTCTCTGTCATATGACAAACAGTTATTGTGTTTGTGAATAAAAAGAAATCTTCACTGATTCGTATTTTTTTTTAAATTGCTTACTCATAGTCTCTTTCTGGATTTGTATTAATCTGTATGCTAGTATAATAAGGCGCTGTGTGAGCCCCCCCCCCCCTTAAAAAAAAACGAAACAGATTACTGATAAAATGCTGATACATATTCGATTAGGCCTATTTTTTTTAAAAACAAAAGCTAAAATTTCATTTTCGGTAGTGGATGTTCTGCAGGCGGATCGTCATTATTTACAAAATGTGCAGAACAAATATAGCATTTTTTGTATAGTTATAAAGTTTTTACGAATTAATCTAGCCCGCTGCAGCCATATTTTCTTCTCTGCATCTCTAGGAATTTTTTGGGAGACTGATGACATGTCTATCTACAGTTTTACCTCTGAAATTGCTGCATATAGTTTGTCATCCGCGACGGATATCAAAAAAATGCGTTTTTCCTCGATTATATGTCATAACGTACATAGTTTACTTACAAGAACACATTTGGTGACAATTAAAGGCCTATTTCATTTGAATTAACCGTGTTTTTAGAAATTTATATTTGTAAAATAATTGCTTCACTTTATAGTATTAAAACTTTGAATGGAATTCTAAATGAATAATTTAATCTCATATGCTCATGTAACGAAGAAAGACTAATTAAAATAGCATCGAACTGAATTCGTGTTACATATGTCGTTTAAAATGATAATCTGAGCTGCATTTAATCAAAGTTTTACTGTAGGATCTAAGCATATGTATATTCCCGAGTAAAATACACTTATTTTGTTTTAGATCAGAGAATTGAAAGCAGAAACACGAAATTGATGCAATGATAATTTCCGAGCGTATTTCTCGTTAATACGGAAAACATTCTTTTCGTAAAGTGTTATTTATGTTTTTAAAAGCCTTTCAGTGTAAGTATTTATTTTTATAAGTTATTCTTTTTTGCAAAGTGTGTAAAAACAATATGAGAGAGAGAGAGAGAGAGAGAGAGAGAGAGAGAGAGAGAGAGAGAGATGAAGCCCCGTGTAACTGACATACATGTACATCTGTGAAAAAAAATATATATACCGTAATTATATTGAATTCACAATTAATAATTCTAATGATTTTTAATTTCCACAACTTTGGTTCATATTCAGCTGTTCAACCCATTTACACATTCGTTCTTTGTGCATGCTGTATGCACGAAACCCTCATGCATCACCTGTCAATCAAATTCGCATGAAAGTTGATTTGAAACATTCTTATGGTCAGTTCTGAGTTCAAGTGTGTAACACACTCAACTCAGTCAACTGACATCCAGCGAAATTCATCTTCCGGTTTCACCACAATGCTTATTACAAACTTAATGTATTTTGTAAATTATCCTTTTTTAGACATAAGTAAGATGTATCCCGTAGTTGATAAGATTTTAAGAAAAAATTACAATAACGTAACATAAAATTGCAAATTCTGATGAAGTTGTTTACCAGCTAACAGGCACGTAGCAACGGCGGGGGGGGGGGGGGGGCTAGCCTCACCCCCACTTTTTTCCCAACATTACTTTTAATATTGAAAATGTTCATTGAAAGACCGGTTGCCCCCTCCCCGCCCCCCCCCCCCCCAGTTTATACTACGGTAAAGTTATATAAGGGAAATGTAGTATTGTATGCCAAAGAAATGGTACTAAAATAAGTAGTTTTTTCGTCTTTGGGCAAGTTTTTTTTTGCTTGTCATCTTTTCCAGTTAAGTAAAAAAAAATATATTTCTCTGGCTGCCCCTCCCCCCACTTTTAAAGACGATGCTACGTATCGCTTTCTAAAGAGGGGGCTAACAGACCCTTTATAAAATCGCTAATTATCTTTAAAAAAATTTCGCAAACCGTTTCCTTCTTTTAATAATATTAAATGCAGCGTGTAAGTTGATCACTTTTGTTGGATTATCGTAATGTGTAGTCCGCGGAAGTTATGCTGGTGTAGAAGAGTTCCGATTTCAAGGGGAGATAACTCACTTTTTAAAATGGGGAATATTGTATTGAAGTTTATTTTTTCTATGAATTTGACCAAATTAATGAAGCTCATATTCAAATTAAATCTAATTCATAATTTTCTTTAATTTTAGTTATGTTTCCAACTCTTTCAAGGCCAATTGCAAAACATTTCAAACTTACTTTCTTCAACAAAGAAGCTTTGGAATTTTTCAAGGGAGAAATAGAAAAAGAGTTTAACACAAGGGATTCTAGTAAGAAGGTGGGGATTTTCAATTTATAAATTATTTTTTAATGTAGTCGTACTCTTGAGTGACTTAATTTATTCCGGTTGCATTGATGTCATTAATAGCACACGTAACACTAATAATTTGTTTATTTCTCGAATTTGATTGACAGGAATATGTAGATTTCATCCAGCTGATGATGGATGCTCATAATGACAACCCACAGGAAACGGACGAAAAAAGGGGTGTGTCTCGATTATTGTTCAGGGTTTACATTTTAATATTCAAAAATTATTATAGCGAGCGTCGCGAAGCGACGCTCGTAACTGCGAGCTCTAACGACAACGCCTGGGCGAAGAGAAAATTTGGACTACTGCACATTCATTCCATAAATTTTTTTGCCGCAGTAATTTTGACCCACAATGCATCGCTTAGTACACAACGCTAAAGCAACGTTCTCACGAGAATAAGAACAAAAAAGTTAAACGAATAATAAACTTGCATTGGTTTTAATGAAATTATCTGTTTAATGCAGAAAATAGTCATATACTAGCTGATAGAAATCAGCCCTGTTCAGGCTTCGGTTTGGTAAAGCAACAAACGATGTCATGTGACGTCAGAGTCTTAAACGCACCGAATGTCACGTGCGCTTTGACGAGTCCGATCTAAAAAACAAAAACAAAAACAACTGGATAAGTATCTGCGCTCGCCCTAACGGTCGCACCGTCAACATATTAATTTAGAAAAAAAGTATACCTGTTTACATTATGATAATTATTATATAAATATTGCAGGTAGCTAAGTGTAACATTGAAAATTTTCATCCCAAGAAAACCATTGTCAACCGAGGCGCAGCCGAGGTTGACAATGGTTTTCAAGGGGTGAAAATTTTCAATGTTACACTCAACTACATGCAATATTTATTATATTATACTGAATGTTTTATACAAATACAATGTACATACATGTATAATAGTGAACCTTGCGCGCATAAATTCTGCGCAGTGGCTATTTTTTGGAATATCACCCGTCGTCAAGCAATGTTGACTGTTGCTACGCTGGAGGGCGTGACTTCATTATTCAGCGGGTAATACTGTTTTTTAACAAATTTTTCTCGACCAATCAGATTCAACTAATTTACATGAAAGTATAATATATTAATATAGCCTCTTCTGAAGTACAATAAATTTTTGGTCGCCGTCATTGTATATAAAAAACAAATTGTGTGTACTCATTTAGGTAACTCGCAAATCGGTCCCATAATTCTGACGATGGTTCGGTATATATTCCTCTTCTCAGTTCAGTTCAGTTTATTTCACTCAGACCAAACTATTGGTGCATAGGATACGTGTGTATTATTAACATTTATTATACCTCTATTGATAATACTCGAATTTGATTGGCTGGTAAGAAACTTTAAAACACAACAATGACTCCAAATGGTACTGTTTACAGCAAGAATGACCTAGGAATCTTTGCACGTAGGATATAATGACCCGGTCATTATTATTAATGACCGCTAAATAATGACCTCTTAATCAAAAATTCCTTTTTCAGTGAAGTTAAGGCATAAAATAATAATTATTCGAGAAAATCAACGTTTTTTTTTAAATTGTGCATGGTCTGTTTTGCATTACCCTACAGAAAATGGTAAAATTTTATCCTTAACTTAAACGGTTACTCATTTCAAAATATCGTTACAATATTCAGTTCAATGGAATGTAGAATCGGCTCTTTAAAGAGTAAAATTCTGTGTTAGATTTTGACTGTGTAGCGGAAAAGTAATCGCTAGTAATAACAATATATGTCGCTATCAACCAAATATTGTTTTAATCAGTAAATCATGATGCAAAAACTTACACGACTTGCAGACGTCAGTGTAAACAACTTCACTATACAGAGACAAGCGAATCCCGATCCCGATCAAAGAAAGAATTGATAACGGTTAGAGATTCATACTTTTCAATATATATCGGTATAATAAAACAATTGATTACCCCTTTTGAGTTCAACATGGTGAAATAAGGACCCTCGACCTGGCCCACTTGATGACCTGCCCTGACCTCGGCCACTACGCGTCTCGGGTCCTTATTTCACCATGTTGACCTCAAAAGGGGTAATTAATTGTATAATATACATTATATACAATATATACGGTCAGGTAAGAGGTACATACATGTATACGCTATAGAAAACATGGCAGAAGATAAAGGGGAAAAAGAAGAGTGGGGAAAATATGGGGGACAGACATCATCAATATTCAAAATAATTAAACAACTTCCCTCAATGTCTGAATTTATGGGATTTTTTTTTATTATTTTTTGTATTTATAGTGATATGTTTACAAGGGTGAAAGCTTCATTTCCAGGATTAACATCAACTGAGATCATCGCTAACTGTCTTCTGTTCTTCTTTGCCGGCTACGAGACGACGGCCAGTACGCTCTCTTTCCTTGTGTACCTCCTGGCTGTTCACCCAGACATTCAGCAGCGGGTGTATAACGAGATCGTGTCAGAACTAGGTGACGTAAGTGAAAATAGTTGGTCTTGAAAAAATATTTTTTGAACTTTTTTTGATTTCCTCACAGATATATGTATATCTCGAAGAAAAATGAAGAAAATTGAATACGGATTTCTCTGACATTTTACGATTATGACAAAGAGCACGCGGCAGTTGTAACCGGTCGGCAGGGGATGCTCTTTTTGCCATGGCAACTTATCCAACTTCAAATGTTTTAGCGGTCAGTGTTTGCCCTGCTCCTGATTTGTATTGTCTGATTAGACATGTTTGTTATCTCAATACTTTATTTCGAAAGACTACAAAAATGTTGTCAAGAAGGAAGAGCGACCAGCATTCTTAACTATCAACATCGGAGTTCTTTTATGTAGAATCAGAGTGATTATTGACTAAGTAATTTTGTCTATGACCTATCAAATGATTTTAAAATTTTCGATTTCCATTTTTATGATGAAGCAATGTCTATGATATCAAACTCCTAGTTTTTCATCCACTAAAAGGTCTTTGTTGTTTCTGAGTAACTGCAACTGATTTACACCACTTTTGGAACATATAGTGTCTTATTCTTTTACATCCTCTGATTTAGTATATACGGAAGGAAATATTGTTGCATTTTGCCATTCAGTTTTCTGCTATTTTGATATATTTCTAAAACACTTAATCCATGATATTTAGTCACCGTATGCACCCTTTATTTTGCAGGAAGAACCGGGTTATGACAACATCGGAAAGTTACAGTATATGGAAATGTGCATCAATGAAACAATGAGAATGTATCCTGTAGCTGCAAGGTAGCAGCGACTTCATAGATTTTGTAACTTTGTAGATAGACAAGTATGAAATCAGATATGTTTAATTTGTCATTATATGCAATTATTGACAAACAAGTTGATGAAACAAGAATGTCAACAGTCTCATTAAAAGTCATCATTTCGTAAGTTCCATGGTCGATTCAATGACCTTGTCAACAAATAAAATTTATCATTGAGTCAATTGCAATTGCTGACTTACGTTTTTCATACTAATTATTAGTCCATTATTTAAACACTGAATTGACGACGGATTTTCCCGTTATTTCCCGATCATGAAAGGAGCAAACGGCGGGTGTGACCGGTCGGCAGGGGATGCTCACTCCTCCATGGCATCTGATCCCACCTCTGATGTTTTGGAAGTCCGTATTTGCTCTGCTCAAAGAGCAAGAGCCACTTTGGGCCTTATTTGGCCCTGCAAATTTCTGAAAAATCAAAACCGATCAGTTTGTGTTGGAAATGCAGTATTTATCACTTTGAATGTTGGAGACCACGTATCTATTAATTGTGACGAATTTCCCATCTAGTCAATGCATTATGACGTCATAAAATGCGTCATTTTCCTCATATCCTGTAAATTTCTTTGAAAATGACCTAAAGTTGAAGCATTTTTTCAATATTTCATACAGAGCACAACCTCTGATCCAAAATATGCAAATACATTATGAAAGCTCTGTTTCTGAAGATCAAAAAAACATGTTTTATTTTTTGGATCGTGGGCTGTGCTCATATTTTAATTCTTTGCTGAAGGTAGTCAAATACGCATGTTTTCTGCAAATTACAGGAACATTGCAACTTCTCAAACATGTTTTCCTATATCTGCATTTTCAAAACGAAACTTTATTATAGAAAATGAAAGCACCAAGTGTCTACTTTATTTTGATTTATGAAATTGGAAAGAGGGTGATAGTTAATTAATTGATATAAGTACAGGGCCATTTTATGCATAAGATGGCTCTTGCTCTTTTGTATTGTTTTATGGACTCTTTATCTTGAGTGCTGTTCGTTGTCTCCATATGTTTCATTATCTGAGGTTTTTTTTGTTTGTTTTTGATTTTGATATGAATCCTGTTATCATGACTTTTTTCCTAAACGAAGCGCATCTGAAGAGACATTGAGGAACTTTGCGCATGGTCCTTGGAAATATCTTCCTTTCTTCTCCGTACAATTGACTTTTTGTTAATGACAAGAATTTTGCAAAAGAAATATCATTTTTTGTGAAGAACAATATTTTTAATTTTTGCAATGAATTCAGAGCATGACTTGTCGAAATAAATGTTAATTGAAAATTTTGCAAAAGGATTTAAAGGAACGTACAGAGAAGCTTTTTTCGCAACAGTTTAATCAGAAATTAAATATAGACTGGAAATATTTTAAAATAGTTCACTGAAATAGATTACATCAATATTTGTAACATGTACGTATGTAAGCTTTCTTTTGCGGTGTTTTTATATTTTTTTCCTAAAAATTTGTTGTTCCATAGTGAAGATAATAAGACTGTAGACAAAAGTCTCAATATAGTCTTGAATTAATATATTATTTGAACAATGCTCAATGAATAGCCAAGATACTGAAAATTAAAATTCTTAAGGTTTTTAGATGTTTTTTTTTTAAACTTTAGAATATTTCATGTAAGCTATACATGTATAATAAAGCCCACTTATTTCTTTTTCTTCAGAACTGATAGAACCTGCGTACAGGACACTGAAGTAAATGGTCTGAAGATTCCAAAAGGCATGCAGATTGCCATACCGATTTGGATTTTACATCATTCTGAAAAACTCTGGGAAGATCCTGAGAAATTCGACCCAGAGAGGTTTGTAAAAAGTCGTCCTTTTTCAAAATCATTATTTTTTTAATTTGTATCTATTTGAGGATCCATTTCCTGTCTTTCTCGTAAGTTAATTCACGAAAAATGTAGAAAATCATGCGAACACATAGAAAAGTTAAGTAACATTTAAATGTATTGCGTGCATTTATATCCAATATTTATACTGTAA